ATATGTCCTTTCATGTAACTAGCATAACATATAAATATTAAATTGAAGTGGCGGCGGCAGATTATTCTGAATCTGTCCTTCCTTTCAAACCTGTGTTCTACTGCTCTCTCACTAATCTTTCTCCTCTTTCTTCACTTTCTCTTCTGTTCGAACCTGAAATTCCTTAGTGTCCAAGACTGATAGCAGTCTTGATCATCTTCAATATAAGTACTTATCAAAGGAAAAGAAAGAGAGACTTGCTAGTTCATGATTGCAACCAAGTGGATGCCCCTGAAGCCGATCAAGGTATGGTTCATCTCACTACATCCACTAGTCTTGATCCCGATCTTCCCATTTCTTTGCAGAAACCAGTTCGATCCTGCACTCTCCATCCTATAAATAGATTTGTCTCGTATTCTCATTTGTCTCCTACCTATCACTCTTTTGTTTGTGCATTGTCTTTTGTTTCTACCCCTTCTAGGTTCTCAGGGGCTGTTGTTGACTCCAAATGGAAGGAAGCTATGGATGAAGAAATGAGAGCATTATTGAAAGCAAACACTTGGGAGCTAGTGGATCTACCAGATGGGAAGAACATTGTGGGGTGTAAGTGGGTTTACACAATTAAACATAGAGTAGATGGCACTATTGAAAGATATAAAGCTAGATTGGTTGCAAAAGGGTTCACCCAAAGGGAAGGTATTGATTACAGGAGACTTTTTCTCCAATTGCCAAATTAAATACAATCAGAGTGTTACTTTCTTTAGCAGCAAACCTTTCCTGGGAACTGCATCAATTGGATGTTAAGAATGCCTTCCTAAATGGAGACTTGCAGGAAGAAGTGTATATGGACCCTTCTATAGGATACAACATGAGAGGAAAGGTGTGTAAACTAAAAAGGGCTTTGTATGGGCTTAAACAATCCCCAAGAGCATGGTTTGAGAGATTGTACGGAGCAATGAAGGAAATAGGGTATAAACAGAGTAGTGCAAATCATACATTGTTCTATAAGAGGGATGGTGAGAAGTTGACAACTCTGATTGTCTATCTTGATGATATGGTGGTTACTGGAAACGATGCAAAGAAAATTATGGAATTAAAAGGTTTCTTAGCCTCAAAATTTGAAATCAAGGATCTAGGGCACTTGAGATATTTATTGGGAATAGAAGTGGCTAGATCCAAGGAAGGGATTTACATCTGTTAGAGAAAGTATGCTCTTGACTTGCTGAAGGAGTCCGGGAAGTTAGGAATCAGACCTACCAACACTTCAATAGAGCAAAATCATGGATTGCAAGGAGGTGATGAGGAACCTTATCATGACAAAGAAAGATATAAATGGTTGGTTGGAAAACTGTTGTATCTATCTCTCACTAGGCCGGATATTGCATATTCAGTCCATGTAGTTAACCAATTCATACATAATCCACAAGTCTCGCATATGAAAGCAGTAGAGAGAATCTTGAGATATCTCAAGTCCTGTCCCGGGAAAGTCTCACAAAGAAAGATATCAATGGTTGGTTGGAAAACTGTTGTATCTATCTCTCACTAGGCCGGGTATTGCATATTCAGTCCATGTAGTTAGACAATTCAACCAGTAGGATATGATGTACATTTCTATTAATGATTAAGAGTTTCTCATCTGGCATATGATGTTCATTTCCCTTTGCAATGTTTTCAAAATTGTAGAACATCTAAATACAGAAACCCCTCCTCTTAAATCTCATCTTTCAGGAAATAGAAGAGGTGTGAGAAAGGGAAGAAAACACACTTGGAGTCCTAGCCATATGATCATAGAATCTAGAGTCAATAATCCAAGTAGATGAGGAAGGTGGTTTAGATGCCAAACAAGCCATACTTGAGTGGGCAAGGTTGGCAGTATTTTGCTATGAGGTTGCTTGAAGGAATCTTTCATACTTATTACATGAGATACTTGTCATCTCTTTCCTAGTAGCAGCTGTAGAAGTCAAAAGTTCTTGATTGGACTGTTGATGAGAGCTACAATGTGATTGGACCAAATATATGGTGGGCCATGCAAATCATAACAGTAATTGATAGTATGACCATCCATTTTGCAACAAGTACACTTCCGGGGACCACTACCATGACCTCCCCCAGACTCCCAACCTCCAGCACCACCTTCACAACCATACAAGGGATCACTTCCACTCTGTCCCTCTACTCCCATTACCAACATTCCTGCCTCCATGACCTTCCACTCTTGCTGCGGCCAATGTAGACCTATTAAAGTTAGTAACTGTCTCTGTAGATCCCATGGAGACTCTATGTTGCCTAGCAAACACCTCTTCAAGAGAGTGGGGGGCTGAACTCTCTAAGATTTGTGTTAGGACAAGTTCATACTCTTGCCTCAAACCTAATAAGAATTGAGTCACATCAAGTTGTTGCTGCTGAACCTTAATGTCAGAGGTCAAGGGCTGATACACATTAAGTTAACTTCATTGTGAATATTTCTTATGCTGGCATATTACTTTTAGGCCTTGTTCACGTCTTGGTAGATGACTTACCTGGGTAAATGCACTTATCAGGGTAAAGTCTGGATAAGAACACTTATCAATGTTCTTTTATTCCCTAGGTAAATGTGTACAATGACCGATTTATCCAAAAAAGTGACATTATTGAAGGGACAATATTGTCCCATCACATTGTTCTTTTCCGTAGGACCCACTAAGACTGGACAACAAACGTGTTTGTTTCTTTTCCGTGGGACTTACCAACCAACCTGCCCCTACTTCCTGGAAAACGAACAAGGCCTTAAAGGCTTTGGTTGCCTTGTTGTATGTAAAATACTTTTGGAAGACTGGAAGAGCTGATAAACACTTGGTAGTGTTGTCCTGGCCTGAATATAACTACTTAACATGTACCTATATCTCTTGTCATATCAAGAACATAAGATTAGTACTTATCTTAGGTTCCATAGTGTTCCACAACCATGTCATGATTTGGGAATTTCCTGTTCCCAATCACTATACCCAATTGATTCTGCCAAAGGCTTGTCATCCTTTGCATACTTCAGTTTGCCTTTGGCTTTCAAAACACCTCCACTGACTTGGCCCAAGGCACATAATTCTCATAATTTAACTTAGTGGAGATCATCTGCACATTGAAATAATCAGAGGGCACCACTACACTTGACTTTTGATCAATACCACTGTTTCCCAAGGCTTCTATGATGTTATTCTTCAACGCCTTATACAACTAGCATCCTTGTTGCACAAATAAATCGCACAACCTGATAAGGCTTTCTAAACACTCCACCGCACCACAAAGACTTCACCATCAATTATCTAGTGCTGTTCAACTCAGACAGCATAAAAGATATGCAGAAAACTGATCACCACTCCACTGCAGCCCAACACTAACAACTCACTGCCCTCTTGGTAACTACCCAATGGAGGGTGTAGTTTACACTACTACACAACCACCACGTCTGTCACCCATTGCGATAACAAGTAACTGAAAGAGAAAGAAGGTACTATCACCCCTTACCTGTCTGCCTTCTCAGGTTAAGAAACAGAAAATAAAGAGAAAAAAGGAATAAGAGAGATTGCAGCCCTTTATTAGATCAGATCACAACCTTCTAGTATTCTCTAGTTCTATGATACCATGATATCATATCCAGAACATAAGTAGAAACCTGCAAAACCAGTAGGGAAAAGGAAGGAAAAAGAGAGAAAGAAGGGTGAAGAAAGAAGAGGGAGAGATTGGAAGAATTGAGGGCTGAATGGGTTAGATCACTTCTCTTGTCCCAGTCAGCTGCTATTTATAGATTACTTAAATGGAGTACAATAACAATTGTGCCCCTAATTTAATATGGGACACATGACTAAAGATAGGACATAAAAGTCCATGCACATAACATTAAAACATAATGGAATGGCTGAACCACCCTAATAAGTCAACGGTTAACAATAAGAAAGATAGTAGCATCTGCAAAAGCTTGGGAACATCATTCTTTTGTCCCTCAAAAATATGCCTGTTTATTTATTTCCATATGCTCCAAATGATGGGCCAGGGAATCATAATCCACAAAATAGCACCTCTAGAACTGCAATTATCAAAGGTCAATACCAGAAGGCCCGTCTAATTGATGCAGGGGAACCCAAGAGAGACCAAACAACTAAAAGAACTCCCAAACAAGAGTTGTTACAGGGCAAAGAAAAAACAAATGATCTACAATTTGAAAATGTGTATGACACTGGCACATTTATGTATATCACATGCATATTTCATGTATTAGTATACACATGTTACAGTCTCTGTTGCTTTGCTTTCTTCCATGTTTGAAAAAATAAAAAATATATCTTGACTGGTCCGTGAAGAATTTTTCACACATGCTTATTTCTTGCATTAAGTATACACTTCTATGCTACACAGAATACATGCATATTTTCTGCATTAGTATATAATAAATCTCTGCTTCTTTGCATCCAGAAACTTCTACAGGAAGCAAAGAGAAAACTTGGAGAAATTCTTTCCGCATTTGAATTTTTGGATAGCCAATCTATGGAATTGGTAAGATCACAAAACAACACACTTATTCCCCAAAGTAGAAATAGCTATTCCTGATTTCTTCTTGATGTCCTCTGGTGAATCATAACTATTTCTTGATTCTATCTCATAACTTGTAACCATATTTTCATTGGTACACAAAGAAGTTATCTACATTTTTGTAGTGTTCTAAAACCGACATCTGGACCTGGAAATGGAACTGCTTTTCTGTCTAGGAGGTGGGTCAGTGGTTCAGCCATCTGGGTCAAATGGGTCAACCTTTGATTTCATATTATAGAAAAATTTGTGCATATCACTAATATCATATATTCACATATTAAACAAAAATAGTTGTGATAAATAAAAACTATTTTTATTAATGATGGAAATGGATAAAACGAGAAAAACAGAAAAAAGAAAATTAATATCTAAACTGTGACCTGCTGACTGGGTCAAATGGTTGGTGGGTCAACTGGCCAGGTCACTAGATCATTGACCAAGTCAACAGTTTGCAGGAAAGCATTTCAGTGGTGAGACAGACCCAGAATTTTGGCTGGGTGATGGATCAACCAGTCCAACTGAGTGGTTTGACTGTGGCTTGAAAACACTATTTACTTTTTGTATTGATAAATTGAAGTAATATGTGGTCCAGTCTCTAAATGTAAGAACATCATTTTAAAGGATTTTCCTTCAGAATATCCATGACAAAAACAACAGAAATTTGCTTCATCCCTCTGATCATTCTAACAGACCCCACTTATTTTTTGATGGATATGACAAATCCCACTTATTGGATTCTAGACAAAATTGATTTGCACAAAGAATCCAGAGCTTTGACTGGTTATGTGTGAAATTTTGCCTTCTAATAATAGTGCTATTTTCTGGTTGAATAGCAGAATAACTAAATATGAGATCCATCAATATTTTGAGCAATCATAAAACTTCTACTCTCTCTGTCTCTCTCTCTCTCTCTCTCTATTTTTTATTGGGAAGAGAATCAAAACTTAATTTGATCACTTCTCTTGGAGATGGAGTACAGTGCTGCAGTGCTGCTGTACTGGCTGTCTCCGTATGGATGTTCTCTGTAGGGAATCTTCTAGATGTGATTCAAACCAATAAAATCAGTAGAATATTTCAGAATAAAGCAAAAGAAATCAGAGAAGAAGAAGGAGACAGCAAGAAGGAGGAAGATTGGAGAAGAAAGGAGAAAGAAACGAGGAGTTTGAATATCTCCTCTTTCTCCTACTCTAATCTTTTATTAAACTTACTTAAGTTACATAAATTACAAGGAGGCCCTTAAGTAGGTATCCACATAAGCACTAAACTTATAAAACATAAATAAGAGCTAAAGGCCCATAAAGAAAAGACCCAATAAGAAAACATAACATGAAAGAACTAATAAGAAAGACACTAATGGGCTAGGGCCCATTCGGCCCAGTCTCTCTACACTTTTGTAGCTAATTCTATGTATTTCTTTACTAAATATCAATGGAAAAGCTACCTATGATGTGATAGATCTGGTTTGGTAGTGACTAAAGGGAGTGGTCATGGAAGTAGAAGTGGTGGTGGCAGCAGTGGACCTCCAATCAATCGTGGTGGACACATGTTTAACCAGGCTAGTGGCCGGACTAGAGGCCGTGGAAAAGGAAGGAGTAATGCTCAGAGAAAGTGTACACATTATGGCTTAGAGGGGCACACAGTTAATTTCTGCTATGGTTTGTGTGGTCTACCCAACACTTGGGCTCACCATGCTACGTCTAAGAGTAGTAGCACAATTACTGAAAGCCAGCAAACTAACCCAACCCCCTCCACATCTGCTTGTGCTTCTGGGCAGGAAATGGTGAGTGTACCACTTGCAGTATATGAGCAGTTCCTTCAAACATCTCAGCAGAACACCGCTACACTTGCCCATTCAGGTATGGCTTGCTTAGCTTCCAAAGCCTCACCCTGGATCATTGACTCTGGAGCCTCAGACCATATGTCTGGGACTCTTGATGTATTTTCTTCCCTTTCTCGCTCCTCCACATCTCAGACAGTTACACTTGCTAATGGTTCTACATCTCCTATCTGTGGTGTTGGTGATGTTGATCTCTCATCCTTGTCTTTAGCATCTATTTTATATGTCCCTAAGTTCCCTTTTAACCTTATGTCTGTTAGCAGATTAA